GGCTCGCTTGACCTCGAGGCGGATACCCCTGCCCCGCTCCCGTGGTTCCCGAGCGCGAGCGCAAGCCGAAGGACGCCGCGAGGGACAACCCGTGGGCCCAGCAGTTCTCTCAAGGTATGGCGCATATGGAGTCTGCGGGGGAGGGGAGGCAGGTCCTGAAGAGGACGGAGGGGGTTGTCCTGGGCGTCTTCAGAGGCGACTCGGAGGCTTTCGAGGCGTTCCAGAAGCCTGATGTTCGGCAGCTTCGGGCGGAATGGCCATTGCGTAAGGAGGAGCCCCTGTTTGACCCCCAAGAGCCTGGTGAACTTGCAGACGGTGGGTACAGTTGTACGCTCATGAATGCTGATGTCCTACTGTGGGACGGCAGGCTTGTGTTTCGAAAAGCCCTTCTGACACATCAGAGGCATGCGAAAGGTGGTGAACACTGGCTCCTGAGTATTGTATCAAAACTTACGTTGGCTAACCAGTGTATTGCATGCTCGTCAACCTTCAGGTGTCGTGATACAGCAATTCGGCATCTTGAGAACGCTTATGACTTTCGCCGCTGCAGAATGGACTCCTCCAAATTCACCCCCCGCTCGATGTCCCAGAAACGCGTGTATGTCCTGAGTGTACGCAGCTTGACGCTGCAGTTGCATTTCCGCTCGCACCTGCCGGCACCTCTTCCTGAGTTCGTGTGGCATGGCATGTTTGCAGCGCTCCCACCTCCTGCTGCCAAGGCCGCGGCGCACCCGCCCAAGCGCCGAGGCGCGCCCGGCCAAGCCGCAAGCAGGCAGAAGCGTAACGGAAGCAGGCGAGCAACCGTACGGTGTCGAAGGAGGAGATTGCGGAGCTCGAAGAATACGACATCGGTCAGGTAAACAAATCGTGCCAGTGCTCATTGAACTCGTGATGAACGTGACGCTCCGTACGAGACAGGCCGAGGCTATCACTTTGCTGACGATGGTGATGAGCGAGAACACCGCGCCGATCCTCCGAGGACGTGCTCGGGTGAAGGCGGGGGCAGGGTCGGCCCAGGACCCGAGGGCGCGCGGCGAGGAGAGCGAGCTGGCGAAGAGGGGCTCGCTCTCAGTGGCGTGTCTGGGCAGAGCGGTGGAGCACCCAACGCGAAGCGCCTGGTCGAGCGAAGGAGATGGTGGCCAAGAGTGCGCTGCAGTACGTGACTAGGGGGCCAGATGCGAACCCTGCCCCTACCCCCCACGATTTCTGGGGGGGGGGAGGGTTCGCATGTGGCCCCCTAGTGACGGCGGAGCTTTCCCTCCGTGAAGGTCCAGACGGCCTCTCGCGAGTGTCAGTGCAAGGCGCTGATGCCGAGGCTCGAATCTCTCGAGCCGTTGGTCGCCTGTTGCGAGCAGCTCGGGGCGGAGGTGAAGGAGGGTACGGCCCCGACGGGGCATCTCGAGCGCATCCTGCAGACGTTCCTCGAGAACGGAGAGATGGATACCTAAATGATGTCGAAATGCAGATGAGAAGCAACAGCGATGAGGCGATGTCGATTGGCATGCAGGTGCCTGGAATTGTTGCTGATTCTGAACTATGTTTCTACCAGTGTCAGTGGCACAGGTGGCGTATCACGAGTTCGTTCGACGTCGAGTGTTGCTAGAAGAGTTACTACACCTTCGGGGATGAGGGGATCCTTGTCGGCTTCGAGGGCGGCGGCGACATGGGCTACGTGTTTTGAGGCCCGCGACGCTGCCACCGTCCAGGCTGCTGCCCTCCCCTCCTCTTGTCCTCGTGATCCTCCTCCTCCTCCTCCTCCTCCTCCTCCTCCTCCTCCTCCTCCTCCTCCTCCTCCTCTTTCTCCCCCTTCCAAGCGTGCCGGGATCTCAGTTGTCCAGTCGTTTCGTGACACTGGATTCGGAGAAAGTCTCTCGGGGTCGGCAGCACGCTTGTTAGGATTCAGAAAGTGTTCTTCCCAACCATCCTATGGTGTTGGGTCCTCGTATTGAAGAGACGGTCCCCGCGCTCCTTCCCTCCCTCCTTCCTTCCTCCTCCCCCTCCTCCCTCCTCCCATCCCTACGCCTGCCCTGCGCATGTCCTCATCGCTTCGTGGCCACATAGGGAGCTCCACCTAAGGTCCCAGTGGCGGTGTCCACATGCGCCTCCCCCACCCAGCACAGCGCCTCATGGCCCCATAAGGGGCTCCACCTAAGGCCCCAGTGGCGGTGTCCACATGCGTCTCCCCAACCCAGCAGAGCGTTCGTGGCTCCATAGGGAGCTCTGCCTAAGGTCCCAGTGGCGGTGTCCACATGCGTCTCCCCGGGTCTCCCCCACCCAGCACAGCGCTTCGTGGCCACATAGGGGGCTCCACCTAAGGCCCCAGTGGCGGTGTCCACGTGCTTATCCCCCACCCAGTACGGCGCGTCGTGGCCCCATAGGGTGCTCCACCTACGGTCCCAGTGGCGGTGTCCACATGCGCCTCCCCCACCCAGCACAGCGCCTCATGGCTCCATAAGGGGCGCCACCTAAGGCCCCAGTGGCGGTGTCCACATGCGTCTCCCCCAGCCAGCACAGCGCCTCGTAGCCACATAGGGAGCTCTGCCTAAGGTCCCAGTAGCGGTGTCCTTGCGCGTCTCCCCCACACAGCACAGTGCCTCATGGCTCCATAGGGAGCTCCACCTAAGGCCCCAGTGGCGGTGTCCACATGCGTCTCCCCCACCCAGCACAGCGCTTCGTGGCTCAATACGGGGCACCACCTAGAGCTGTAGCGGTGTCCACATGCGTCTCCCCAACCCAGCACAGCGCTTCGTGGCCACATAGGGGGCTCCACCTAAGGCCCCAGTGGCGGTGTCCACATGCGTCTCCCCCATCCAGCACAGCGCTTCGTGGCTCCATAGGGAGCTCCACCTAAGGCCCCAGTGGCGGTGTCCACATGCGTCTCCCCCATCCAGCACACCGCCTCATGGCTCCATAGGGAGCTCCACCTAAATCACTAGTTGCGGTGTCCACATGGGCCTCCCCCACCCAGCACAGCGTTTCGTGGCCCCATCGGGTGCTCCACCTCAGGCCCCAGTGGCGGTGTCCACATGCGCCTCCCCCACCCAGCACAGCGCTTCGTGGCTCCAACTAAGGCCCCAGTGGCGGTGTCCACATGCGTCCCCCCCATGCAGCACAGCGCTTCGTGGCCACATAGGGAGCTCCATCTAAGGTCGCAGTGGCGGTGTCCACGTGGGTCTCCCCCTCCCAGTACAGCACTTCGTGGCCCATTGGGAGCTCCACCGAAGACGATACCCACAACTGCGGCACTCACAACTGCATATGGTTGGGTCCTTCGCCAGGTTAATTTCGGTGGTTGTTTAGGTTTGATGCATCCTGGGGGCTCAGGGCGAGCAGAGGCCCGAAATCGCGGCAAATATGTCAATCCTCGGGTGTCTCGGTTGTCACAGAATGGAGCTAAGCCCCTGTAGGAGTCTGATATGATCCTCCTCCTCCTCCTCCTCCTCCTCCTCCTCCAGCTCCTCCTCCTCCTCCTTCTTCTCCTCCTCCTTGCGCTCCTCGCTCTCCTCCTCGCCCTCCGCCTCCTCCTGCTCCTCCTCCTCCTCCTTCTCCTTCTCCTCCCCCTCCTCCTCCTCCTCCTCCTCCATTTCTGCCTCCCCTCCTGCCACCCTGTCCCTCCTCGTCCCCTTGAGTCCTCCTCTCTGGGGTCCGAGCACATGGAGCCAGAGGATATTTAGCGCCACATCGCCGCTGCGTCGGCGATGCATCGGCGACGTCGGCGTAGCGAAAATCGGGCTCCACATTGAGCCGCACCGGCGATGCGGCGCGATTCCCCGACCCCACCGGGAAGCCCGGACTTGACCTGAAAAGAAGGGCCTGTGTGCCGGCTGCGTGGGGCTCACAGCCGTGGCGGGCCCACGGCAACCCAGGCTTCGCCTGTGCTGGGCCCCACCGCCAGGTTGCGCCCTCGGGTGCTGGGCCCACGATAGCGCGGTGCCAACGGGGTTCCAGGCTCCGCCTGCTCTTCCCTCCTGCTCTTCCTGCAGCTGCCCATCTTCCGCCTCCTCATCCTCCTCCTTCTCCTCGAAACCCGATCCTCTAATCCTCTTCCTATTTTGTTCCTCCATCTGCTCCTCCGCGAAAGCAGTATCCGCATCCGCATTCGCATCAGCATCCGCATCCGCATCCGCATCATCATCATCATCATCATCATCATCATCATCATCATCATCATCATCATCATCATCATCATCACCACCATCACCATCACCATCACCATCACCATCACCATCATCATCATCATCATCACCATCATCATTATCATGCTCATCAGCATCATAATCATCATCGTCAGCATCATCATCATCATGCTCATCAGCATCATAATCATCATCATCATCATCACCATGATGATCATCAACATCAGCATCATCAGCAGCATCATCATCAGCATCATCATCATCGTCGTCATCATAATCATCAGCAGCATCAGCATCATCATTATCAGCATCGTCATCATCATCAGCATCAGTATCATCATCAGCATCACCGTCATCATCATCATCATCACCAGCATCATCAGCAGCCGCAGTATCATCATCATCACCATGACATTTCCATCATCATCAGCATCACCACCATCACAACCATCATCAGCATACCCATCCTCAACATTACCATCGTCAGTACCATCACCATAATAATCGTCATCAGCATCATCACCATCACCTTCATTATCATCACCACTATCATCGTAGCCATCACCATCATCATCATCAACATCATCATCACCATCGCCATCACCAACACAATCACCCATCATCACCATCATCATCATCATCATCAGCATCACCATCGTCATTATCACCATGACCATGTCCATCATCATCACCACCACCACCACCATCATCATCATCATCATCATCATCATCATCATCGTCATCACCACCATCATCATCATCCTCTTTCTCCTCCTCCTCATCCTCCTCTGTTCTTTCTCCCGTTCCCTCAGACCTCTAATACTCCTCATCTTCCTGCTGCTTACCCTTCATCCTCCCGGGGTC